TACGTCCTTTATCATGGAAGGTAATACAGATTACAACTTGAAAACTCCATATAATATAGAGCCCACTTCGACTGTGTCCTTAGTGAGCCAAAATCGCGCCACTCGACATACACCCCGAGAAAACCCCTCTATTTTTTTCTTAATTTCAAAGCTTCATTCTACCAAATTCGCGTAACTGTTACGTTCGCTGTGCTTTGCGCTTGTTGCTTTCATAAATTGCGCATTACAACTTCACATATTCCTGAACAAAACAATTCATTGTTTTCCTTCAAAACTCCACTTTTTTGTGTTCGATTTTATTGCCGATTTCTGTGTGTTTGGAACTTAGTTTACTATCTCTTTCAATTCACTGTGCTACGGACTATGAAGTTGTAATTAAATTCACAGAGATTTTTAAGTTACGCGTTTCCTTATCTTGACTCCCAGGAATTAAGTGGGCGAGGCACTATGGCCACTGGAGCGGCGCGCTGCGGCCGATTTTGAATTGGACATCAGATTACCACCACTGGGTCCTGCCCCCGCGGACAACTGTTCCATTCCCATGTTTTTTACAGAATAAAAGCCAGCTTCATCTTAGTAAAGGGTCTCAATGAGTGTGTCAGCCTACCTTGAAGTTCTTCAGCCTAAACAAGGATTTATAATCTTGAAAAGGATCAATAGTCCGCTAGGGCGGCGCCTGCTGGCGATAAATAGTCATCCAACCGAATATCACTGATTAGCTTCTGAGTCTGGACAATAGCTGATCATTTATATCACATTCAAAAGCGACCGCGCCGCGTCAGTGTTCGCAGTGCCCCGCCTGCTCTATCTTTGAGAGCCGACGACTTCTGAGGGTTTTCCTTGTCAAATCATCGTGTCACTGTTTTTAAGTTCAACTTTGACAGATGATCATACGGTGAAATGGTTGAAAGAAAAAAGGAATAGGGCGTACATATTTCATGAATACATACGTAACACTCACACACAATCTTTGCAAAAGTAGAACACACTTGCCATTAAATGGCAGCGAAAAGGTGAACAAAGACAACAATGTAGAGGGAAAAATTTAAACAACGACACTAAAGACTCGCTTCTAAAGTTACAGTCCGCTGCGAAAGGCGCGCAGTAAGTACTGATGCAATTCGCATTCGCGCGCGCCCATAGTTCATGGGGCGCGCAAATAGAGAGCGCTGCTTCTCTCTAGCCTTTGTTTATAGATGTAATGTCTCACTGGAATAATATGACATATTACCTTTTCTTGTTTCTTCC